TATAGAAGTTTGCTAATATTGGTTATTATACTATTTAGGAGAGAAATAGTATATGTTTATGTGTGAATTTTTTATGGTTACCCTAACAAAACAACAATGGCTGGCTGTCTACAAATTGGAAGTACAAACTCGAGAGCAATGGAAGCAATGAGGTTTTTATGAAGGGGTTAATGTGGCTGTTCAGGTGTAGGTTTGTTTTTGTTTTTGTTTTTAAAGCAAACTGATGCTGGCTGGTGCCCCTGCTGCAACCAAGAGAAGCCTCAGGGACTGCAAGGACTCTGCACCCGGTAGTTACCTTTGTTAACAACAGATGGCAGCAGAGAGAGGCTTGCCACACCTCCGCAGGTTCTGGTCTGAACTAAAGGAAATAGGTCAGGCAGTTATAACATCGAATGGTAGAAAAAGTCTTTGATAAATTAGTTTCTCAAAGAAGTGGAGAAAGCCAAACTAACCGCTAGTCTCAGGTCTTTTCCTGGCAAAAGTCTGCCATCTTTCATGGTTTAGCTTTTCATTTCTGCAGGCCCCCCCAAAGAAACTATTTCACATCCTGAACTCCTTCTGTGTGCCTGTCACATCCAACTGGTTCCAGACTGTACTGTTTTGACCCTTTAAAATAATCTTTGCCATTGCCAGGGGCTTAGAACAATGCTCTACACATAGGAGGAGCTCAATAGATATGTTTTTAAAATGGATAATGAAATGGTAAATGTTCTTAAGTATCTTTGTAAGATACTTCCCCAAGTGTGTCATAATATCCTTGCTATTAAGTTGAAAACTTGTGAATTAGACGCAGCTAAGAATATTTATTCTTAAAACTACAAAGTGAAGTCATGCTAGTAAGATGAATTATTGTTGAGCTGGAAGAAAATCTTGGGTGGGTTGTTCCATATTCAACATTTTTACTGGTTTAAGTAACTATAGAGAAAGCAGGCTAATTAAAATGACAGATGACATAAAGTTGGAAGGAATTGCCAATAAGCTAAGTACAGGACCCAGAAAGATCTGGATGGATGAGAGGGATAAACCAAAATCAGCAAGATGGAATTTGACAAGGAAAATGTAGAGGCCTGCATTTAGGTTGGAAAAATCCATGTGACCTGTACCACAAAGTTCCGGTGGGAGGTGGGGGGTGGGGCAGTGTGAGGGAAAGGGGAGCAGGAGTAGTCTGTGAAAACTTGGAACCAGTGCAACTGTTTAGAACAAGGCAATGCTTCAATAATTTATGGCCCAACCATTCTGCGGAATACTGTATATCTGTTGAAAAGAACAAGTTAGATCTATACATATCGACCTGGAAAGATTTCCAAGGCGTATATTATTATATAGAAGCTATCACAGAAAAAAAAATATGTAGGAAATGCAAACTAAAGTGGTTATGTATGTTTGTGTGTGTATGTATATAAGTATCTGCAATTGCATGGAGAAAAGACTGGAAGGATATATATATATATATATATATATATATATATATATATATGTTAATAATGATACTTCTGAGCAGGGCTGTGAAATGAGACTTTCCTGTTTGACTTTATATACTTCTGTATTTAATTTTAAATGCAAATATATTTATGTATCAATTCTGTAATTACATAAATCACCTTGGTGGGGTGTAGCTGAAGGTGGGGAAAGGTGATGAAGCCGTTAAAAAGCTCACTTGAGCTGGAAAAGTCACTCCAATGCTGCGCCATCCTGGAGTGCTGCACTTGGTGCTGGGCACCATCTCCCTTCTGGAGGACACTGATGGGCTGAGGAGTATCCCCTCTGCCCTGAGGGGAAGCCTGGAAATTCCTGGCACTGATACCACTGCTTGACTGCCAAAGGTTAGAGCATGGGCTTTGTTCTTTCTTATTTGCTTATACCTAGTAGGTTCGTACACAGTAGTTACTTAACATTGAATGAATGAAAGACCAACGGGGAAATGTGGACCTGGAAAATAAAGTTGGGGTTGAACCTGGATCTGTTCTCAGCTATTAAGGTTATTAAGTGGAAAATAGACTTCTCTGGGTCCACCAGGGGGCAGAACAGATGCGGGAGGGCTGGGGTTAGAAACAGAGGAGATTCAGCACAACAATAGGGAATTCTTCTGCTGGCCTCCTGCCCCACACGCTCTGTCGGCCTGTCCCTTCTTTGGCCTCATCTCTTCCCATTCTCTCCCTGACTCTGGCGTCTGGATCTTTCTCTCTCCCTAGACGACTCTTCCCTAAGATACTTGCTTCTCCATCTGCTTTGTGTCCCTCACAGGAGGCCCCCCACCCTCATACCAAAGACCAACCCTTACTGCCCCTGGGCCATCCTGTTTTCCTTATGCACTTTTATTTTCCTCTGTTGCATTCATCTGCAGCATATGTCCCCGACAGGGATTTGTTTGTGGTTTGCCTCCTTCATCATGAAGGCAGAGATTTTGTTTTGTTTGCAGTCTTGGTGCCCAGTAGTTCCTGGCACTCAGTTAGTACTGAGTAAATAGTACTGGTAAATATTGGCCGAGTAAATGAATAATTCAAGATGCACGTAGTAGAGTGGAGTGTCTTAAGAAGCCGGGACTCCTCCTTAACCCCATCGACACTGGGGAAGATGGCGAGTCCCTCTGGTGTTGGCTATCAGCTACGGGAATGAAATGTACTGGAGGAATTCTAGAAGCCCAGTCCCACAGCCTTTGTGTGATAGGACTGTCTGCTGTGGGCCTTTGACTAAATATGTTATCTCCTGAGGGGCACCTTCCTGGCCCGCTCAGTAAGAATAGTACTACCTGAAGGCCTACTATTGCCAGGGTGGCTGTGAGGATTAAATGAGATCTAGGCATACAACATTTGGTAACAGAGACTCTAACTAAATGAAGGGAAACTTTATGACCTTGTTGACTTTTCTTTCACTACGCAGTAACATAGCTGTCGTCTCCCTTTTTGTGCTGTGACATTTGCACCCACCTTCTACTCTCCTGTCTTATGTGGCTAGTCTCTCCTCCCTCTGTATTGTACTTACTCCAGACTTTGTGTAAATGAGCATTTTTTTCCAGCTTCCAGTTTATCAAGCTTTGCTTGAGTCATTTCTATCTGAAATACCACCCATCATATTTCCAGTTTGGGGTCTATCTAACAGAAAACAGGTGGCAATATTTTACTTAGCATTTTACTTCATATAAAGCTTTTACATGAATTATCTTACTTAGTTGCCATTAACCTTGGGAAGTATTCAGTAAGCCCATTCTAAGACGAGAAAATTGAAGTCTAGAGAAATAAGTGAGCTCCTGCTTACCCACCATAGGCCCTTCTCAGCATGCTGCCAGCTGCTGTCTAGTTGACTGCTGAGGTCAATGATGGCAGTGGTGGCCAGCTCAGGTCAGGCCACCCTGGAGGACACTACCTTTGTCCTCCTGAGTTGGCCCTGATTCACTCATACCGATTGCAATCCACCTTTTGACAGTTGTGTATTTATGGAAGTGTTGAGACCACGAGTGCCAGTTTACTAATGAACCTCATACCAGGTAGAATTAGCAGCTGAACTGTACGTGCTGCTTCATAAGCTCCAAAGGTCACATACACTGATGCTCTGCAGTGCTGAGGCCCTCCTGGAGGCTGGCCCACATGAGGCCAGTGAGGCTACTGCCTTGATGTAGCCAACCTGACATGAGGTCCTTTGGTGGAATCTTTAAAAACAAACCAACAAACCAACCAACCAACAAACCAACAAACCAGCAAAGCTTTTTCTTATCTAGCACAAATGATAAATTTGAAATATATATTGAGGATTTAATTCAATACATTCAAAGCTCAAGCTCTAATTTTCAGGCATGTGGCCAGACCTCTCTATAAGTTCTTAGAAGTGGTCAGCAGTAATCTGTAATTACTTTGACCCAGACTTTTAAAACCTTGAGAATAATAATCTTCATAGCGTATAAGAGTGAACATATCTATTTAAAAGGTCATGTGCTGTTTTAACAGGCTGCATGCAGAACACTGTGGAAGATGGCCAGGGACTAGTTCCTATCCCTTTGCAATTACCTGTTTTTTTGTCCTTTTTCTTTTTTTAAGATTTATTTACTTATTTTAGACAGATAAAGAGAGTGGGGTGGAAGGGCAGAGGGAGAGAGAGAGAGAATCTCAAGCAGCTCCCTGCTGAGCACAGAGCCCCAATTGATCCAATGACCCTGAGATCATGCCTTGAGCAGAAATCAAGAGGTGGATGCTTAACCAAATGAGCCACTCAGGTGAGCCTGTCTTTTGTCCTCTTATGTCCATGTAGAAAGTGTAGGTGTATGGTTCTACATAAAAGTAGTAATGTGTAAAATGCTTTGAGGTGCTTGTGCTGAAGGCTTATTCTACCTAAAAGGACAGACCATTGCTGGCCGGTAGGGGACCAGCACCTGAGTGCCAGGTAGGCCTTCTGGCAGCAGGCACTCTCAGACACAGGCAAAGGCTGACCTGCCAGGCTTATTTCCCAAAGAAGTGGGCACTAAGGAATAAAAAGCAGTTTTACAAGACCAGCTTTGATTACGTACAAATATACAGAAAGAAAATCCCCCAGAAAAGACACCTTATAGAATTTTTCTCGTGCCTCAGCCAAACTTCACCATGAATAACATTTGAAAGTGTCAGCCTCCATGATTCTTCTAGGAGCCAAGCTGGTCATGTGAATCCAACTTGGCATTCTCCAGGTTACAGATCCAGTCCGTACATTGTACTGCACATGTGTTTGTCAAAAACCTGTTCGAGGTGGCATATATAACCCTTCTTTTTCCCTGTCAAACTTTCTAGTAAGAGAGGCTTTTCTGTAATTGGGCAGAAGAATCCCAGAATGGTGGACAGATGCCTCATAACTTACCCATTTGTTGTTATGAAATATAAAATAGGAACATACAAAACTGGCTATAGATGAAATTAAATTTTGTTCTTCTATTAAAAACTGTAATAGATTTTAAATAGCTACCTTATGAATTAATTATATTTTAATATTTTAAATGACATTTGAGATATTACAAAATTATTTTACTTACAAGCATGTAATTAAAGCTATTATTTATTATTACAAAATGTTTTTACAATGCTATTATTGGCAACAGGAAAACATTTACCCTCATTAAAGTATGCTGAGTACCATTTTTTGGAAACCATGTCAAGCACAATGAAAATATTAGAGTTCAATTTGTCCTGCTAAATATTTATCTAAACTCTAGTTTCTATTTAAAAACAAATATCTATCAATTCTATCTTCATTTAAGAAAGCTGGATGCTGAAGAGGGAAGAAAACAAAACTTTGGAAGTAGATGAAAACTCATTTTTAATCATCAGAATTTAGAGTCTAGTCTTTCCATCTGTTCTTTAAAAATGGTCACTTACCCTCCCCTCCATTTTGTTCTGCACCATTAAATTGTACTGTGGCAATAAAATATTCCCAAGCAAGCTCCTTAAATCAGTATTCCTACCATTTACCACAGTCCTGGAAAAGGTAAATACCGTACAGGAAAGACGGGGTCTTGAGCCAGCCTGTAGTTGGTAGTAGTTGGTGGTCTATCCGGCCCATATTTCTTATGCAAAATTAAACCAATTAAACCTAAATTTTTGACAGGAGGCCCTTTGCCATTATAAGCCATCACTCGGTACTTTTGGGGAGTTTCACATGTGAGAGGCTGGAATGCTTTCATGTGACACATACCACAACTAGTACAGCAAATAGCTTCACATGGCACTGCAAATTATTCGTAACCGAAAAACCGTGTTTTAAATTCAATGATGGTATCTCATTGCACACCATTTATATATAATAATCTGAGCCTTTGAAACAGGAGGAACATCTAATGGTTTCAGAACATCTTGCAGATCAAAAGAACATATCCCACTTTAAAGTTTTCGCTTAAAAAAAGTGTGACAAGTGTTTGAAGCATTAGATAACCCTGCCCATTGTTAGATACTAAAACTTCCCAAGTAAATGAAAGAATCAAGAATCTCTATGTTCACCTTTAATTCAGGGAAAATGACAAAGGGAATCCTAAGGGGACCAACCCAACCTTCTCAGTGTCCTCTTTAGAGCTTGGAGTTTCTCTCCTTTCCTCAAAGAAAGAGAAACAAATGCTGATGTCCTTTATTTAAAATTGGAGAGTCCTTACACCCGCAACCCGTCCTAGCCCTGGGCTTCACTAGAACTAATTATAGTAAAAATCAGTATAGGCATAGAATTATGCCTTTGTTTTCAAGCTTTAGGAGAGTAAAGCTCTCTTGGAGGCATCTGGAGTTTCACTTAGATCTAGAACAGTTTCAAATGGTTGTGTTTAAGAATCTTGATCTTGGGAAATGCTGGTGACCATGCCTTGGTAGCAAAGCACCTGTGCCTCATCCTTTTCACCCTCTCTTTTTATCCACTAGCTGGGTAATGTGTTAAACTGGTTTTTTTGACTTTCCAGAACAATATCTAATTAGCAAATAGCACAATTCAGTGACATTTAGCAGTATGCAAATTCCAGACACCGCGATCATGAAAACTGTGAAGACGGTCTTTTCCGTGGGCCTGGATACAAAGCAGTCCACTGTGTTGGGACAAGGCCACGCGTTGCACTTCACCAAACGCTGCATGGAGAAGCCGTCATACATGACATAGAAGACGTACATGAAGACTGCCTCAAAGATGACCCGGAAGAAAATGCTGCTGGTGTACGTCCACCACAGTGACCCTTCGATACGGACCTTCTGGCTTTTGATCTCTTCGATGTCTTTAAATTCACTCTTTATCTCTCCTTTAATGAACTTCCTTTTCTTCTCGTGTCTCCGGTAGGCAACATGCATAGCCACCAGGAGAGCGGGGGTAGACACAAAGATCAGCTGAAGAGCCCAGAGTCGGATGTGAGAGATGGGGAAGTAGTGGTCATAGCACACATTTTTGCAGCCAGGCTGTAGTGTGTTGCAGACAAAATCAGCTTGCTCATCTCCCCACACTTCCTTTGCAGCTACAACGAGGATCATAATGCGAAAAATGAAGAGGACTGTGAGCCAGATTTTCCCAATACTGGTGGAGTGTTTATTGACACCCCCCAAAATAGTCTGCAGTGTGCTCCAATCCATCTTCTCCTCTGGGCGGACTGTGCTAGAAAAGGCAAAGTGAACACAGTTCAATTTCAATTCTGTCAGGACAGAATTCGGAAGGTTTCTCTGAGTCCCAGGTAAGTGAGCACTCAAATCTCTCCTTGAGCAAATACCAACTCTTACATAACCTCACCAAAAAAGGTGAAAACAAAACCAACCTAGTTTGCTATAAGATTAGATGTATAGTTCCCAAACCACCTGGAACATGTTTGCATGCATTCTTGAATAAAGAGTAGCTTATTCACCTGAATAATTCACCAATGCTTAGCACATAATAAAGATTCTGGGGGTGGGGGAGGAGTACCACAAGCAAAAGCCCTCACTAACTTAAAGGCCCTAATTAGTGCTGACCCGACTCTCTGTGCTGTCTGCAGACTCAGCCTGAGTTACTCCGCACCCGATTTGCACTCAGCTGTTGCATCTGCCCGTTAGCCTCAAGGTCTGGATGGTACCACTGGGGATGACAGTAGCTGAGGCCAGCCTTGCCTTGGAGGCCAATGGGTCTTCTCCCTGCAGAGCCACTTTCCTTACAAATACCTCCGTTCACTTTCACGGACTTGGGATGTAGCAGTGAAATTACTGGTACTGATGGGCGAGTTTACATTGAAGGTACTCCCAAGTTAAAATTTCACAAAAGGTGTCACTTCCTTTTTCTTTTTAAATTTTTTATTTATTTATGATAGTCACAGAGAGAGAGAGAGAGAGAGAGAGAGAGAGAGAGAGAGAGAGGGGCAGAGACACAGGCAGAGGGAGAAGCAGGCTCCATGCACTGGGAGCCCGATGTGGGATTCGATCCCGGGTCTCCAGGATCACGCCCTGGGCCAAAGGCAGGCGCCAAACCGCTGCGCCACCCAGGGATCCCTCCTTTTTCTATATAAAAAGGAGCAGGTTGGAAGCAAAGCCACTGTGCATGGATCTTTGCATCCTTTTCATGTGTGGATTGGAGGTCCTCACTGCCATGCCAGGACTGATTGCTCGGTTAGTACTGAGGTACTAATTACTTTTGGGTAATTGTTGTAACTGTGCCTTTTTATTGTGGGCTCTGGCTTTAATTTAGAAGTGTTTCTAAAGAGGCACATTAAAAATGACAGAAAATGTAATTCAGTGGTTCCCTCCTCACTGGCCCTACCAGATGAGTCAATGTATTGAAGTTCAAAACCAAAGTCTGCTGGGTTAATGTACTACTCATTGAAAAGGGATTTGGAGAAGCCTGTGGATCAATATTCCGTGAGACAGTGGCCTTCTCTTCATCCTTGGATATGAAGTGTCTTCATTTATTCAGAGTTACACCCCGTCTGTCTCAATCAACCCCTCTGTAAACAAGATTCCACCTCTCCACAATTCTGGTGAGTAATCGGCTTTCCACCCCTTCTAAGCTGATAGTGAATCCTTCTTTTACTTTAAATGCTCTCCTCCTTTTGAGCTAGTTGGGTCCTGTATCCTGATGGACTTCCTAAGCAGGGTTGGAACGAACACCTTTCATCACTGCACCTCATCTTGGGGCGCACCAAGTCCAGCTGAAGCCACCCAGTGCCACCGGGGCCAGAGGAGGCAGGAGAGACATGGAGAAGAGTCACAGGAAGCCTACAGAAGACTGAAATATGATAGAGAAACAGCCCTACTCTGCTTGACGAAGAGACACATCAACTGGAAGAAACGGGGCTTAAGTCTCCATTCAACCCCGACTTTTTAGACACAAACTCTCTGGGAGGTCCTTAGGAGAACCCAAATTCATCTTTCAGCCAAACAATTTTATGAAATTAGACAGTCCAGGTCCTCATTGGCACTTCTGAACTGGAAAGCAGAACTCAGTGAAATAAACTGTAGGTGGTTTAAATCAATACATCTGGCTAAAAATCTAGGGGGTGGGGCTTATGCCTTTGCTCCTGCATGGGTCAAAGATCACACACTCTTCTGTAAGCCCGACGGATCACCAGCAGTTGAGAAAAAGACAGTTCGAAATAAACCGTATATTGTGTGTGTGTGTGTGTGTGTGTGTGTGTGTGTGTGTGTGTTTAAAGCTCTTGGCTTAAAACTACCTGTTTTAAAGATCCTTTCAGGAAGACGAGCAAATTAAAATTTGATGAGATGGGGTAATAGGTCAAGATGGACCAACCAAGCAGTAAGGAATCGTTCTCAGTATTCAGGACACCCAGGGAGCCTTTCTTGACCTGGCAGATGGGCAGCAGGGAGGCTCCTACCTGGCCCACACCACCCTGTCACTGTTTGGAGTGTGGCCAGAAGTGAGCGGAGGAGCTGGTTCTGCTCTTCAGGGAAGGCACTGGGTGGATCACCAGGTTACAGAAATGGCAAAAGAAAATTCCTTACCCCTTAACTTCTTCTTAGTCCTTATCCTGTTAGGAAGGCTGACTTCTGCCCAGGAGCTCCCATCCCCTCCCGGGGTCTCTAACTGGCCTGATTTGGTGCTAGTTCTGAAAGAGACTCAAACAGCTAAGGGGGACACGGTTGCCCCAACATCCCAAGACAGTCACAGTATCACAGTAAGCGGTCCTGGTACCCTGGGCCTGGACGTCAGGGAACTGGAAGGCACACGCCGTGTTGGTTAATATCCCCCACTGAGGGGACGCTGGGGGCCCGCGACACCATCCTAAGGAACAGGTTTCTCAGTGGCAAACGACCTCATTGGCAACAAAGGTCCTAAAACTTTCCTTCCAGCTGGAAAGTCCACCTGGAGACCAACGTTCTTGACTGTTTAGGAAAACGAGAAGCAACCGAACTCCTGACTCGGCTTAGGCTGCGTCCCGGGCGTCGGGCTCAGCGGGCAGAGGGCTCGGCTTCCTGGCGCGCCTCCGCCTCCTCCGCCGCCCTCGCCGGTGCGAGGAGGTAAAGGTCAGCTCCCTCCTGTGAAGCTTCCTGCTTCACCAACCGCACGGAGTTGTCAGTCTGAACCGAGCTGCAGTCGCTAAGCAGCCCTGGCGGCTGCACCTACCGCCGGGGGCGGCTGTGCGAGTTTCCCGGGGGAGTATCACGGACGGTCCAGCACCCCAGGCCCCACCGCGTCCCGCCCGGTGCGCTTGCTCCCCGCCCCCCGCCCCCGCCCCCGGCCCCGGCCCCGGCCCCGGCCCCGGCCCCGGCCTCGGCCGCCGGCTCCGGTTCCTGTTACCACGTCCCCGCTCTCCCACCCCGCGCCCCGCAAATCCGGCCGGAGCAGCCCGATTCCAATTTCAGAACTCGGCCGAGGAAACTCTTCCCGAAGCTCGCTCTCGCCCCCCGCCCTCCTCCCCAGGTCCGCCGTCGCCACTGCCCGGGACAAGGACGGCGCAGGGGCCTCCGTGCACCGGGTCGCCGCCAGGCGCCCCAGCCCAGCCGAGGTCCCGGGTCTCCCGGCGCAGGGTCCCGGGGCCCCGAGAGTCGGGCGCGCCTCACCTGTGCGGGGCTGCGGGGCTGCGGGGCGGCGGGGCGGGGCGGGGCGCTCCCGCGGGGTCCGGGCTGGGGCTGCGGGGCCGCCTCCGCGCTCGCTGCGGCTGCTGCGCCGCCGACTGGCTGCGGGTCCGGAGAGCGGAGAGCGCCGGGCGTCCGGGTCTCAACACCTGCTGGCTCCCGCGACGCCTTTTAACCGCATCCCACACTCCGCCTCTTCCCTGAAGCTATTTAGAAAGTCACGGAGGGGGCGGCTCCTCGCCGCTCGGCCGCCCCCAGGGTTGCGGGCGGGGCCGCAGGGCCTCCCCGGGGGCCGGAGCTTCCCCGGGACCGGGATCTCTCGATCGCCCCTCGAGGTCCCGGAGGTGCAGGGCCCCTCGGCCCCCCAGCCCCTCCGCGCCGGCTCAGAGCAGCGGGAGGCCGAGCCTAGTGACTCGAGGAGGATGCCAAGCCCCAGCCCCGGCTCCCCGCGTCTTGGGGATGGGCGGGGTTAAAGGATGATTGTCGCTGTTACTGTTATTTCCACTCGGACTAGTTCAAGAGTACTATTGTATTTATAGATCTGCTTTCATCTATATATTCTTAAGTATCAGAAAACAGGCGCTCCCAACGATTTGAAGACTTCGGTTCAGGCCGGGGAGGCCCAGTTCTTTGCGAGGCTCTCTGCTGCGCTGCGGGGGCTCAGGGTCCCTTCGGTCGTCCTTGGAATTTGGGCTCAGAGTGGGCGAGCAGGTGGCGCCACTGGGGTCGGCCAAATCCCTGCTACATTCTCCCCCTAAAATCTCACAGGCAAACTCGACCAACGCCTCCTTGAATTCCCTTTCATATTCGACCACTTTTGACAATATGCCAAGAGCTAGGGTTGGAGGTGGTGGGGGAGACAGGTTTTCTCTTGCCAAGGCTGGCACGGTCCTCTCCGTGTGCCCTGGATGTGGGTGTCCAGCCGTCTGCGCCCTAGCAGAGGGCGCTCCACTTGGGCCTGCTTCCTCCTCCCTTCGGCAGTTGGAAATCGCAAGGCGGCTACTCAGTTTGGGGTGGGGGAGACTCAGATTATTCAGAAAGGAAAGAAAGAGTATGAATGAAGTCCAGTGGCCCCTCCTTCTCCCGCACACACACACACACACACCATGAAAGGGGAGCATTAACAAGTTCTCTGGAGGAGATCCCGGACTGCTCAGTTCCTCTGGAACCTTGGTCTCAGATTATGAGGTCTCATGGTCTACATTTGGTTGGATATTTTGATGTCTTGAGATACAAATGACAGAGAGTGGATATTCATAGAGCAACTGGATAGAGAATCTGCTAGAGCAGGCCAGGCCAGGCCAGGTTGGGGAAAATGTCAAGCCTCAGCAGCTGTTACCTGCTCAGGAAACTTGGTTCATGATTTCTGCAAAGAGCAGCCCATGTGGAAGAGTAGGCATGCTTGCTCCCATGCTCACCTTTACTTAGGTCAGTTTTATGTTAAGCAAAGATGATGATTCATCCTGACAGAACAGACCTAGCCTCAGAAATGGATTTCCCATGATTGCCACCATTAGCGTCAAAGCATTGACTTTTCCTTGTAAAACTGGTGTGCCACTGCTATGGGCCAACTTGGGCCCTTCTTGTTTGGGAGAATGTGAATGTTTTCCTGTGGTTACTACCCGGCCTTCCGGCTCTAAAGTCTTAGTCTAGGAGGGAGTGTCTGTTCATGAAGAAACAAAACCCCAAGAGCTGCCAAAAGCCCTTACATAGCCCATCGCAGAGATGTGCTGAATCAGCGTTTTGGAAATGACAAGGCAAAGCGGAGTGGAGCAGAGGAGCCTCTTGGGTCTGAGTACCCATCACTTGAGGTGGGAGTTGTCTCCGGGTGGACGGTGGGGAGCTGGCAGGTGGCCCTTTCTTCAGTTTTGCTGGGGGCAGCAGTGGCAGCGCAGATTAGGAATCTGCTAGAACTCTGTTCAGGCTGGAATGAAGGAAGGATCTAGAATCACTGTAGGAAGCTTGCTGGTAAAGATGGTTTAGAGATTGAAAGTTGACTCACTTTCCCATATTGAAAAATTTCACCTTAGGTTTTAGTGTCTATCTCCTGATTATAGGTTTCTGTTCAACTTCCTTTTCCTTGTTTTCCTGACTTATTCTCCTGATTTGTATAATTAGTATGGGGCTAATTGTATATCACAGTTGCTCCTATTTGGGGCTATATGGTGAGACTTCTGCCGCTCTTAAGTCTTAACCCAATTCTATTCTGTTTCTGTGATTTGTGTTGTTTTTCTGTGTGTTAGTGTTTTCTTCCTTGTCAGGCTTGGATTCTTCCAAGACAGAAAATCTTAAATACATGTTTTTGTGTCCTCCAGAATAAAGGGGGAGGAGAAGAAGAGGTAAGATGGAAAAAAGGTCTCAAGTTTGGGTATTTGAAGTTATTTCCACATGAACTTAAACATACATACAATTAGCAGATCATTCCACAAATTAATATTTTTATAAATCCTATAATCATTTTATGAATGGTGTAGCATAATCATGTTACTGACTTTTTTCCTTTTGGTTAAAAGCATTATTTTGTTAAAGGTAAACATTGAACATAAGCCTTAATTTTGTGGCCCTGTTTTCACATGTCTTCGTCTTTGAACATTCCAGCTCCCAGAGAAAGCTCTGCCCTCTGCTCTAACCTTCACAGCACCACAGAACTTTGTCTTACTAACTTGTAAACACTGAACAGTATAGAGAATACTTTTTGACTCAGCTTTATTTTTTTTTAGAGATTTTATTTATTTACTCATGAGAGAGAGAGAAAGAGAGAGAGAGAGAGAGAGAGAGAGAGAGGTACAGAGACAAGGCAGAGGGAGAAGCAGGCCCCATGCAGGGAGCCGTATGTGGGATCCCGGTTCTCCAGGATCGCGCCCTGGGCTGAAGGCGGCGCTAAACTGCTGAGGCACCCAGGCTGCCCTTGACTCAGCTTTATGGAAAAAACTCTGTGATGTCTTCTGAGTTGGTCTCGAATGAAACAATTCCCAGGAAAAGCCATGTGAAAAAACTCTGATGTCTTCTGAGTTGGTCTCGAATGAAACAATTCCCAGGAAAAGCTTTGTGGAAAAAGCTCTGGTGTCTTCTGAGTTGGTCTCGAATGAAACAATTCCCAAGAAAAGCCATGTGGAAGAAGACTCTGATGTCTTCTGAGTTGGTCTTGAATGAAGCAATTCCCGGGAAAATTATACGCTTATCGAGTAGCTATTGATGATTAACTGATGAGGAGCTGTTATAGCCACACCTTATCACTTTGGAATGTCAAAGATACATATGACTAATGTTTTTATGTACATGGTTAGTAGCAAACAGACAAATCAATCCCAGGTGTTTATAATTGAGTTGAATGTTTTTGCAGGTATTTAAAGTGATGCAGTTGTAAGGTTATAAAGGTGAAATTATAATATTTAAAGCTATGTGGTATTTCAATTTGACAGCTGTTTTATAAATCAGAAAGAACAAAGTTGCTCTTGTGTAAGAAATCAGGGTGAGAAAAATGATATTTCTTAACATATTTTAATGGATGATTGCTTGCCAGCTGCCTAATGGGGCAGCCTCTTGGATTCCCTCTGGGAAGGATGATCTGAATGTACATAAAAATGTCTCTGTTAAATTTCTAACTCACAAATAATATGTAGAAGATAGAAGAAAATATTTCAAGACATGAAGAGTCTTGTGTGAGAATGGAGCCTCTGACCTAACCTTTGGCAGTTTAAGAGTGAGTTAGAATCATTGAATGTCTCTTAGCTATTAGTTATTAGAGCCATTAGCCACTGGCCTGCACCTACTTTCTTGACTTTATTGTGAAATATTAATCATATTAATAATTGGCAAAAAATCCAGAAAGTTCAGCCTTCTTCAAAATTGCAGTTGGAAACTGAAGATATAATGAATCTTCTTGGCATTTCTGGATAATTAATAACAGCTTATGTATAATAATATAAATTAAAAGCAAGAGTGGTCCCACTGTGAGCGTTTTAAATTTTTGTGAATAATTATTTCAGGAGAACACTATTGCAAATGATTTGTCTCTGCATCATTGCCTGACACCCTCATTTATGTATCCTGAAAATTTTTAATGTCAAATCACTTAGGGAAAAAAATCAGTTGTTACATCCAAAGAGTTAAAAACAGAGAAAAGACCTCAGACTTCAATAATTTAATTGTTCTTCCTCACTTTCAAATTAAAGGCATCTTATGAAAATTTCAGCTTTTGAGTTGTGACTAAAACTATAATAGGCCTTTCTGTTTTCCTCATTCTGTTCTTATATTCACATGTAAAATATCTGGGGAGAAATTCATGTTGCTGGATGTGTCTGAATGGCAAGGAATTGGTTTTACTGGGTGAACATATGTTCTTACTTGCAAAAATATCTGTGTAGCTCTTTTATGATTATTTAAGCAGACAGTGGAGAAATTACAAAGATACTTCCAATTGTATTCGTATCAAAAGCATATGTTGGTCAGAAATGAGTGGAAAACTATAACTCCCCAGGCAAACTGGTAGAGAAAATTTACATCTAGTGAATATAAAAATCACATTCTGTAAGCTGTGGTGATTTGTCAAAATGGAAATTCTCCATCATTCCCAAAGGAACAAAAGAGATATCTACATTTTAGTTTGTGTTACAACAACGTTGTGTTATCTATCACTTAAAGAGCTTTTGGACTAAGGTAGAGTAAATACTCATGAGCTGCTTCATAAAAAAAAAAAAAATACAGGCATAGGTTTGACAAGGGACTATAGAGACAGTCCTTGCTTATATTGTATTTGGTAGGTCACAGCAGCTTGCTATGAAATGCTAGTCTAGAATGTCCTGAATCTAAATTTGTCACTCTCTGGAAACCACTGACTCCATGGTCAGTTTTGCTCCTGATGTCCCGATCAGGAAAATGTTCTCAGACATGGAAAGACCCTCTTCTGGAATTGGATATGAAGCCTTTGGTCTTAAAATTCAGAACTGGGCTTGTGTGCTAGATATTAATCTAAACTTATTAAGCTGTTTCAGAGCCATTTCTACTTTGGAGGAAGAAGCACATATTGATGTGTAGAGTTCTCTGATTTAATCTCATGCTTAAATTTCTGTGCCAGAAAAAAAAAGGCACTTGCAATACCCAGAGGGTACAGTAGA